CACTCCTTTCAGCTAAGAACAGGAAACTGAGGCTACAATTTGCACAAGCTCATCGAAATTGGACAATAGAAGATTGGAAAAACGTTGCCTCGTCTGATGAGTCTCGATTTCTGCTGCGACATTCGGATGGTAGGGTCAGAATTCGGCGTCTACAACATGAAAGCATGGATCCATCCTGCCTTGTATCAACGGTTGAGGCTGGTGGTGGTGGTGTCATGGTGTGGGGAATATTTTCTTGGCACTCTTTGGGCCCCTTGGTACCAATTGAGCATCGTTGCAATGCCACAGCCTACCTGAGTATTGTTGCTGACCATGTCCATCCCTTTATGACCACAATGTACCCAACTTCTGATGGCTAGTTTCAGCAGGATAATGCGCCATGTCATAAAGCTGGAATCATCTCAGACTGGTTTCTTGAACATGACAATGATTTCACTGTACTCAAATGGCCTCCACAGTCACCAGATCTCAATCCAATAGAGCATCTTTGGTATATGGTGGAATGGGAGATTCGCATCATGGATGTGCAGCCGACAAATCTGCGGCAACTGTGTGATGCCATCATGTCAATATGGACCAAACTCCCTGAGGAATGCTTCCAGCACCTTGTTGAATCTATGCCACGAAGAACTGAGGCAGTTCTGAAGGTAAAAGGGGGTCCAACCCGTTACTAGCATGAGGTACCTAATAAAGTGGCCGGTGAGTGTACACTACAGACCTTTTGTCTGTACAAAATGCCAATTACAAGTAAACAGACTAACATTTACTTTAACCTCTAAAATGACAGGTTCAGAGCTTTGTTGTTTGTGTGTTTTTTTTTTATGAAGCCACCTTGAAGCTACTGCTAACAGAAACGTCATGATTTCTTTCCCAAGCTAATATAAGAGAAGATTGATAAATAAGTGACTCAATACAAGTTTTGTTTTTTAACCAATATGAATAATAAACAAAACTTTCCTGCACTGATATTCTTAGTATTCATTTGCAACACATGTAACTGACCTTGAATCTGTATATGATTATATTAAATTGACTATCCTCTTCTGTAAATAAACAGAATCTGACTGTCTTGAGAGTACTTTTGTGGTGAATCAACTTCATACATAAACTGCACTGACCTGAGCTGTTGTTGTCCTAATTTCTTACCTTTACACTCCAACCAGTTATCATTTCATAGTTATTTAATAGCTTTTCTAAAGAACTAACTTATTTTTGAATACAGCTCTTTAAAAACCTTTTAACAAGCAATAACCTTTTAAATAGCAATTCAGCATCTACACCCATTTTCCATAGTTGTTATCGAACATTATTGTGCTTTTTTTATTCTGCCAAATACTGTTACACGACTAGTCAACCAGTTGCTAACCTATTGCCATTTGGTGAATATAAACCTATGGTAAATTACATACCATTTAATCAATTTTTTTTAATGTAACATATATAATGCTTTAAAAATGCAACTGTTTTTATAGAGCTGTTATCCAGCTCCAAACAGACAGTGTAAAATATTACAGTTAAATGATTGAATCCTATTAAATATATATTTATATCAACAAAACAGTTGCCCGCAGTGACATTTTAAGTTGATTGCTCACAAACTTTAATTTCTTATTCTAATCATACTAAAAAGTCACTAAAAGGCAATAGTAAAAAAAAATCAGGTGCATCCACTCTCCACCTACATTAACACACATAAAGTAAAAAAAAATAAATAAAAACTTGCTTAACAGGGGCTGAGCAAGACATTATTATCATGGGCTTAGCCTAGAGATTATTTCATTATAAAGAAGGTGCTGTTCTAATTCTTGCCCCCGCATCTGACATCTTTCCCTAACTGTGCTACGACGCGAGGTTCAACCAGAACCACATGAAAAATATTATTGTTTATAAATGGAATTGTCCTGAGCTGTCAGAGGAAGCAGTATGGGCGCGTGCAGTTGAGGCACTAAACCCTTGTAACAAATGCAAGCATGTGTGCCGAGCTAAAACACAGAAAAGTGTGTGAACGCCCCTTTTTCCTCAGTTGTGCACATATTGTTACAGATGAGAATGGTTTTTCAACTCTAATAAAAATAACGAAAGACCACTTTGTTAAAAGCCCTCAAAGCAAACCCCTGCTCCGCCACAGCATAGTCTGCGTGACTTTCAATAGTCAGTGCATGCAAGAAAACATAATAATCTAAACAGGGATTATTGGGGCTCTCAATGCCCCATGTTTTCCTACCTTGGAGGCATTCTCCTCGATACTGAGTCTATCTTCGGGCACATCTGTCGGCATCTGCAAGCTGAAATAAAGCGATCGGGGGTGAGGAGTCCAGAAGACACAGAGAAACACTAGGATTAACCCTCTCAACCCCAGCCCAGTCAGTTAATAAACCCAAGCCCCGCTGGCCCGGTCTGATTTCTCACCTCTCAGGTGTCTGTCGGCAACTAAGTAAGCGTGGTTTCTCTCTCTCTTGCTCCCCCTTTCTCTCTTCCCCTGGCGCCTTCTTTTTCTCTCTCTCTTCCTCCTCCCTTCCTCACTGTTCTCTCAGGTTATAGGGCCCAGGTCCAGCTCTGCAGGCAGCACCGTAATTCATCACTTCAGACTGACTGCTGTGTGACTCACACCTACTAAATGCTTTCCGGATACAGACTTCCTGCTGAGAAGGAAAGATGAAAACTGGCCAACAAAAAAAGCTTTTATGCAGGTTTCTGCTGCAGATGTATGCAGTTAATTAATAGCAGACAGAAAAACAAAGCGGTGATGTAGCTTGACAAAAAGCAGGACTGTGGATAGATGGTCAGTATCACGAATCTCTCATTAAGCACTTATACTGGCAAATGAGGCGATACAGAACATGACCCCTAGAGGGCAATACAAGGCAAGCATTTTCCCTACTAATTGGTCACAGTGGAGAGTGAGCATGTAGGCTACTTGGGGGATAGGCTAAGAAAACCAAATTATTGACATATATTTTTTGTAAAAGATAGTTAAAGTTATTACAGTTTTTCAAGCTCCCTGAACCGACCAATGATAATATTAGATTATGCAGACTGATTCCAGTTCATTTTTGCAACAGCCACATCATCACATCAGTCTCCTTCATACCCACACTGCCTGATCATCGTTGTGTTCTTTGCCTAACCCACTTTGTTGAAATATATAAAATTGAGACTTCACATAAATATTTTCAGGTCATAATTTGAGTTGCTTGCTATTAGCATTTTTTATTAACACATTATATATATATATATATAT